TCAAGACGACAAAAATAAACGCTAAATGTGAAATTAATTGAAACGAACGTTCAGAGAGCGTACCGAGAATCGTCGTACTAAAACAAAAAAAAGACGATATATCTTTGGAATTCTATTTACAACGACAATTTACGCTTTTTTGCCGTCTCTTTTTCGTGTCACATGGAATTGTATCAATTATTGTTCGACAACTTCAAAGCAAAGGAATATTTGTAGATAAGATAAATAAGACAGATAGATTTCAGCAGTAGAGCTCCTTGTGAAAGAGTTCGTCCAGGGAAGTACTGCCATCTTACCTATTTCTGCCGCCAAGCAGTAATGTCAGCATTACTGCGTTTCGGTTTTGGAGAGTAAGGGTGCTGATGAAATTACAGGCACATGGGACTTATCAACTTATGTCTCAGGGTGCCGAGCGTAGTGGCAGTGCCCCTCAGATCTCTGCGATTTAAAGCTCTGAGTGGTTCTGCAACTGTTACGGACAGACGTGTCGCTTACTACCAGGCGCACGTCTTCTACGTCCTGTTACTTAGTATTATAAAAAACAAAAAATAAAATAATTATAACTTTTTATTAAAAAAACAAAAGTTTGTGGAATTGCTATATATCATTTGCCTAGTTTTATTGAAATCGGTTACCGCAAAGAGGGCGAAATCGGACTCATCCCCTAGTTTGACACCCTTACACGTGGAATATTTTCTTTAAATTTAAATGGGACCAATACTGAAGTAGTGAGGTTAATTTAAATGGGGTGAACGCTGAGGTATGATTCTATGTTTGTTGGAAAGAAGGGAATCTACCATTTGTAAGATTACCATCTTTCCAACAAAAAAAGAATCAGCAAAATTGGTTTATAGATGAATCACCGGAGTAATCGCGTTACATACACACAAAAAAATACGTTCGATTGAGAACGTCCTCCTTTTTTGAAGTCAGTTAAAAAAGATATATAATGTATGGCAGTTTGGATATGCGCTTGACGTAGTTTGTACGAAATGAATAGCAGAAATAGGTTTACGAGTGTACGTCACTATGTAGATAGGTAACCCATCACGACGACGACGACGACGACGACGTGGCGCCTCAGAGGTGTACTCTTTCAAGATAAGTAGCGACTTAACACTGTCCAAATCTCTGTCTTCACGAGGGTTGAGTTGGGTCTATTGCACAGAGCTGAGACGTGCTCTCTGAGTCAGTGAAATCTTTATTCAATCAAGTAACACTCACGTCACATGCGCGTACGCATCTCACTCTTGAGTCGCGATTTGTTGTGACACTCCAGCGCAACGTTAATGCGCTCATAATTTACACCGACATTGCCACGATGGCCGTCGCTTTGAAGAACGCTCTTTACGGCACACCCCAAAGAGTTAGCATTACCTTTTATGTACTATAACTTGAAATAAACATTTCGTTCTGTTTACTAAGATTTTTGTATTGTTAATATATCTTTATTTCTATTGTCGTTACAGAAATTATATTGCATAAAAAATATCTGTTGCTTTTATAAATTTCGTTAGTTACACCTCGACCAGCAGTTACAAAAAAAAAAAAACTTGATACTTAGGTAAAAATTTAACAGTCGATACAACCTCAAATGGCTTTGGTTGATTCGGCATAACAGTTAAAGTGTTGAATCAATCACTTCGGAATAATATATATAGTAATATTGAGGATGTACACTGATTACTATACGGTGTGGAAAAAATAGAAAAAAAACACAAACTTACCTCGAATTTTTACAAGAAAACCGCTGTATTCAATAAGTACTTTACCAATGATTTTTTTTAATATCAACTGAATTATATAAACCATGTGTAGTATACGACATACATTTTTCATATGACTTTAATATCCTTTATAAAAAAAATCTGAGATAAAGCCAGTGTCCCAGCCGCTCGACAGTCGTAGTTCCTTATGTAAATAGAAATAACAAATTCTGGGCTGTTAATATAATTTAAACTTAACCCTGTTGGCATATCGTTGAAAGTTCAATATTATTATTGCAAGTTACGACTTTTTAATTTCACATTGAAATTTCAATCAATGTCCTGCCATCTAGTGATCAATAGCTGAACGACGACGAATTCGAGATGTTTACTTACTTCTCCAAAAAATTTAAAATGAAATGAAATAAGAACACCACTACAGATAATATTACAAGTCCGCTATCATTTTTCCACTACAAAGTAGCAAAGTAAGGCATTTCTTTACGATTTTCGAGGTTTTGCGCGAGATAATACATATAACTATACTAAATAACGTACAAAGCGAAAATGGCGGACCGGGCTTAATTATGTGGAACTCTGCGTACTGTTGGCACACGTACCACGCAAACTAAATACTTCTATTGTATTTATTGTACTTTAACTCACTACATAACACGCGGAATGGAATTTTCCTTATTTTCTTAACAATAACTAATCCGCTTTTTAATTTTAAACTACATAATGCAAAATGACAATAAATTACTTTAACAGAATAAAATATTGACAATATAATTATAACAATTAACAAAGTTAACGAAGCGGTCGGAGACTACACATCACTAAAGATAGAACAATAGAGCACGTAATTGAAAGATAATTGTATGATATTTATTGTAGATATATGAAAATTGATGCTTTTGCAAAAACTTTGTAATTAATACAAAAAAGGTACAAAGGCAAACTTATAATTCAGAAGAAGATGGCGGAACTGATTATAACCAACGATATCAAGTTTGGACTTTGGAAGACAACGGCTATCACTGGAACTGTTCAAGAAGACGAACAATACTAGTTAGGTGGTTATAATTTTTTTTAACTGATCGGATCGTAAGTACCTCTTAGGACCTAGTTACATAAAACAAAACACAAGACGAAACGGAAACAATTTATTCATCATATATAGAAAAAAATATGTCTTTAAAAGTTTTTATAGATTTGAAAATATAACTTTTCGAATTCGAAATAGCTATGCTATTTCATATTTCTGCTGCTGTAGTATTTGGACCAAAACCAAAAACCATTCAATTCGTAATAGTTTAAAAAATAACCTAACCTATGGTTAAAAAAACCGTCCTCCAAAGTCATTCATCCCCTAGTTTGCCACCCTTGGAGGTGGAAAATTGTCTTGAAATTTAAATGGGACTACATTTGAGGTTCTTTCCAACAAAAAAAGAATCATCAAAATTACTTCACAAATGGCGGAGTTATCGCGTAACATACATACAAAAAAAACATACTGACGAATTGAGAACCTCCTCCTTTTTTCGAAGTCGGTTAATAACATTCAATGCCAGTAATTATAAGTCATTCCTGTACCTTCAAGAAAAATTATAATTATTCTTGTTCATTTGCTCTGGTGTCAAATGGAGATCTTAATTTGGACGTTAAATGTTCTGTGTCGCTCGCAGATTGAACTCTCGTTTCGACGCCGTAAATCATAAAGATCCGGCGTACGGATGCAGTTCATTTCAACCTAATGTTTTACACGTTTATGTTAATTGCTTTAGTGTAACTTTTTTATAAAGAACTTGATTTTTTTCATACTTTGTTTGGTTCAGTCCAACGGGGTTTGTAAAAGTAATGGAAACTACAGACGTACCGACAGACGGTTTGCGTATTTGCCTATTTGGCTCCTTTGCTGTACTCGTCGAATAGACAAACAAGACAAACTTTGTTACACATGCTATCTACGTAATGGTGATGGTTTGCCATATGTATAAGATTCACACCAATTAGTTGGTCACAAACTAAGGGTCGTATTCTAGAACTCTATTCAATGCTCAAGTCAAGATTGCACTGGCAACACAAGCACTGGAAATACGACTCTAATGGCAGGGACTTGAGTATGATTTCGAGTGCTTTAAACCATACTCAAATCCTGACTTGAGCATTGAGTAGAGTTCTAGAATACGATCCTAAGAAACCTATATGTATACTACCAACATACCTACGGCGTTCATCCATACAAAAACCAACTTTAAGTGTTAACGCTTCGGAACAATGAAACTGAGAAAAAATCCAAACGACTCACCACACGTAAGCAGATACTTAACGAGGCAAAAATATATGATTAAAGAGTATCATCTTTGCAGTCAGACCAAAACGAAACGCTCTGAAGTATAATTTTTATAATGCACAATGGAATAGGTGCAATAACATAGACAAATTGACGTTTATCGTGAGAAACGGGTTGGCTTGTTTGATTAATTTAAAAGCAAGTACGTGTGCAGGCTCGTCGCTGACTGCTGTCGCAATGTTGGTGCACTACTGCACACGTGCGACGCAAATATTGGACTAATGATAATTCTGTATTGTTGAATTTAAAGCAGATCGTCTTAATTCGTTAGGCAAAGGTTTCCAACAAACCTTTGTTTTATTATCCATTGAGGTTTATAAATTCTTTTCTGCGCGGTTTTGATCGAATATTGCGTCTCACTGTATGCAGTAAAAGATAGAGAGAAGTAAGATTTATATATAAATGGAATGACTTCTCCAGATTGGTTTTGCACAAAGTGAACCAAATAACCTTGTTGATAACGATTATTCCGTGGTATCCTGATAAAGGCACCAAGAAAGTTCAATATAGCGTGTTTATTGGTTTTTTGTCCAATTAATTGCAGTTGATAGCTATTTTGTCATTTCACACCGTTTATAATATATTCATTGATTTACAATATTATCATTCAATTGTTTAAATGCCACTGCACCTTTCACCCTGAGATTTAAGTTGACAAGTCCCATGTGCTTTTAATTTTACCAGCACCTTAACGCTTCAAAACCGGAACGTAGTAATGCTCACATTCCTGCTTGGCGGCAGAAATAGGTAAAGTAAGGTGTCAGTACTGTAGTACAGGCAGCTTAGGTTTGTATTTAGAATTGTAAAAATAGTAGAGAGTGGATGTCAAACAGACATCTTGGTAGTTCTGGACAAAGCTTTAAAATTAAATACACGTATAAAGTTATAATTATGATATAATCGTCGTTTCTCATTGGAAAGTACCTCTACGCAAGCCCAAGAGTGCTACTTGTGAATTGTTTTCTTTGAAGTGTTTACGTTGCGTGTTTACTTTTATCTATGCTTATTTAAAAACATGTAGAATTTTATTAAGAAAAAAATTTAAAATAATCGATTTTCAAAAATTCTTGAGACGACAACGAATTCATACTTACAATGCGAACAAGCCAATTGAGGACGAAAGCAGCTGTGGAGTAGTGTGTGCCGTAGTGGAAGGGTGGCGTGGACTCGTGCTCCCAGGTGTTGTATCGTTCTTCGAAGTACGCGCGCCGGGACGGGTTTAGGGCCCCGATTGGCTGTGGAAATAGACACATTTAGACAACATTATGAGTATATAGCTGCTTTTCATGAATGAATGAAAGAAAGAATGACCTGAACCAAAATAGTATTTTTTTTGTCGTATTGCACAACTGTATTCCGAAAGTAACAAATTTTATTGTAAATAAGATGCCGAGCGTAAAACTAATCACGTTTAATATTGGGCCGATACCCATTTTCTTTGAAATCATCTTCCAGGATCAGTTAGGTGATTTTGAAATAGGTTGTTATTTTAGTAAGCCATCGTCATCATCAACAAATCTTTTGAATGTTAGGGGTACATTTTCCGCACCGCGAAGTCATTTAAGAATGAATAATGTTGGTTTGTAGCACATTTGAATATAGCTCACCGATCTGGTTTCCCAAATACAACACACATCGATGAGATAGAATCTGTTCAACGTCGATTTCTGAGAATTCTTTCTTTGCGCTAGTCTTGGGGTAAGACGTAAATTGTTTGGTCATGAACACAGACTCGATAAGTTTAATGTGGAAGCCTTTGCCCGCTGCCGTCGATTTATCAGTGACTTACTTACCTATATTGCATAAAAAGTTTGTAAACAGTTTCAATTTGAAGAAATTATTCAAATCAATTCAAAATAATCTTTATTTCATAGGTAAGCATTATTACACTTGAAATCGTGACAAAGGTTAAACTCTACCGCTCATTCGTAAGGCAGATTCCCCTGAGAGGAATGAGCAAGAAACTCTAGGGGTTGCTCTTTGTAAATAACATTTGTACGCATTCAACATTTGCAATATATTTTTTGTTTTGCTTTCAAACATCAGAGACCGAGACTACCTCCATGAGCTAAACGGGTTACTACCACGGATTTTTGTCATACAAGTACGCAGAAGTTGTATAATAACCTTTAGTACAAAGTTTTTGTTTCACTATAGTTTGCCTCGTGGAAGGCAAATTTTGTATATCAACCGGAATCTTGTTATAGAAGCGTATACATTGCCCCTTAAATGATTTTTTGACTTTGTGAAGACGACTATCAAGAAAAGCTAGTTTATTTTTATTCCTCGTATTAATGTTATGTCTATCACTATTTATCATAAAGAGATTATTACTATTCCTCTTAACATAAATTAGATTTTTATAGATGTACTGTGACGCTAGTGTAAGAATATTAATTTCCTTAAACTTATCTCTCAAAGATTTCACCTCTAAGGGTAGCAATTTAGGGGATAAATTAGGTTTATTAGATTTTAACTATTTTACGTTAACTGTTTTAATAAAACTTGGCAAATAGATGTATTATAGATCCACAAACTTTTGAAGTTGTTTTTTTTTTATAAAAACGGTACAATTTTGTTTCTTTTTCATTTTTGATGGTGTTTTAATTTCTTGTAGAACATCATGATTTTAGTTGTAGCCATGAGATATTCCGTGACAGCCTTCTCGCATTAAAAAAGCACGTTACTTTGTGTAAACCTTTTTAAATTTTAAAACTGTTCTTTATTATCATTTTTTTGTTCATAAGATAACACAATTTAGTATAGTTTTCTGAATCCTGTGTACAGTTGTAAATGAAATCCTGATTACTGATGTTTTTCTTCTCAAATAATATTTAATAATAATATTGTAACTGTTTACTGTAATTTGTGGGATTGGCTCACGAAAATGTGGTTCCAATTTTGTATGAAAGGTGCAGTACTGAAGCTCTAAAGTCAACTTGGTGAATTACCTTAGAAAGGTCTCTGTAGTTAGAAGGCTGGCTGAGATCCAGCTCCTCGCTCTCATAGTTGGTAAGCACCCACGGGAACACCGGGTACTGGTTTAGGTCATTGTACGTACGCCCTGCGAACAACACATAAGAAATTAGCGTGCAACAAATTTGAAAAAAAAACGTAATTGTATAGGAAATGAAACTATTTTTCCGGATTTAAATCGCGTATTTGTTTTTCAAACTAATCAACGTTTCGGGCCCTTTACAGGTTTCGTGGTCACGGTCAACCTCTGAACGTAATTGTAGATAATCAAAGGTATGTACAAACTCAATTTTCCAACAATACTAACATCGAAACTAAATCTATGTATCAAAAAGTGACAACCTGTACATGTCATACTTAAGCATGCGATCGACGTTTTAAGTCGATTTAAAAGTAGTTACCACTTCGGCACTCTCTGAAACAGAGGTGAGCCAACTTTTGTCATTAGGGGCCAGAAATACAAGAAAAGGGGCCAGAAAAACAAGAAAATTAACAGGAGGTTAGAATTAAAAAAAAAGGATCTTCTTTTGAATATTTTAAATTATAATTATTGTGTAGGGTTACGTTATTTTGTTGTGTGTTAACCATCTAGTATATAACCAGAAGTAGAGACGAAATAAGGGTCTTCCATCCCTGGCAACTCATCGAAAATGGACCTTATATCACTTTTAAATATCAACTCTCGTTTACGCTGAAATCGCAAATTAAGCTAAATAAGAAAGCTGAAATAGTACAGCGCCAACAACTGGCCTGTGTGTACGTCTCCGTAAATTAAAAAAATATTTTGTATTTATTGTAATTAAGATAATATCTCTAACAATGGGGGCTGTTCCATTCGGTGGTGTGGGCAAAACAGCAAAACGTCTAATTACAAAACAAACGGGATCACATTTCATGGGTAATTAAACACGTAATTTTTAAATTTTCGTCCATTATAGCAAACTTCAAGTTAAACTGATCGATTTGAAGTGAAACAATTGGCAACACCCGTCAATTGCTTCTGATTCGGGCTGGCCAATCGGAGCGCGGTAATGATTTGGCAGTATAGTTTTCAAACAAATTAAATAACATATATCTGGTTATATACTAGATGGCGTTAACATATTATTATGAAAATGAAAATGGCTTTATTGTCTCTCACAAACGAAACTTACACTTCTTGTATAATAGTCACTGAAGATAGTTTCGTTTGTGAAAGACATTCGACAATGTATGTCATTTTATGTGACGAGGCTGTCCAAACATATGTGCGAGGGTCAGTTAAAAGGATGTTGGCTGGAGTTGGCCGTACTTTGCCCAACACTGTTCTACAGTATGCAATAACTTGTGACGGCCAGAGGCGCTGTATTTGTCATATACAATTACCAGGGATCAGAATAGGTAGAGTTTTTTTACCTAAACTTCGAGGAACATAGACAGAAAATGGAGACTGCCTTACGACAATATTTTTCAGGTCCTGGACCTGTTCGGGATTCGGGAAATCACTTAAGTACGTTAAAAATTGATGTAATTGGGGACAGACCGGTACGCTATATTTATCTTAACTTTACGACACAGGTCGGATCAGCGATAAAATACACATTTTATTTTTTTCCTACTAAACTACTAGATTTATGGCAAAATGTGATATGACAATATTTAATTAGGACGATAGTAATCTCTCGATTGGCATTTTTTTTAGCGAGGTGTCGTGAAAAGAAATCCAATGTCCGCAATATCGCAGATCCGACCCACTGTGGGTCGCAAAGTTAAGATAAATATAGTGTACCTACTTGTTCCTCCTCCTATATGTATGTTCCTCGAAGTTTCGGTAAAAAAACTCTACCTATTCCGCGATTCCTGGTAATTAGACAAGTAAAATAATGGGATAATGACGATGATGACATTTATTATCAGCATATCTTTTGATATTGATCTAATATATCTTGGTTGCTTGGTTGCGCCCTCCATTCGTAGGTTATGTATATGAAAAAGCAGAAGCCAGAAGCCAATTTTTTTTAGTTTTCAGGTTAATTTATATTATAATCAATATAATATTAATATACAAATATAATCAATATTAACATAGTTTTAAAAACTTTATTTTTAATGCTCATTTGTCTTAGTTTTGAGGCCCAATATAAAACTATCCAAGTTAATTTATACAAATCTATTTTTTTTTTGTGTAGCTCGGAAGAGATTAAAATATCGATTGATTGAATTTATTTTATGTATCGAGTTCTTAGGTTTTCGCGATTGTTACACATAGGAAATGAAACTATTTTTCCGGATTTAAATTGCGTATATTTGTTTTTTCAAACAAACCGACGTTTCGGGCCCTTGCTTCAACCGTGACCATGGGACCTGTAAAGGACCCGAAACGTCGGTTTGTTTGAAAAAACAAATATACGCGATTTAAATCCGGAAAAATAGTTTCATTTATTTTATGCCTCAGAGAAAAAGGACCAATCATTATAAAACCGTTTAGATTTTTGTGTCTGCTGCTTTTGCAAATTTAAAAGGTTCATTTAAATACATGCCTAAGACAATTTGTGACCTACACGTTATCACTTCTATATTTGCGTGGATGCGGTCAATTCTAAAAACGATTATACGCTAACGAATTATGTAAGTATCTAAACAACACCCTCATTCATACTACTATCGTGTAACGGACCATTCATTCTCTGATAACCAGGCCATATTTTGATAACTTTTTTCATTACGACACAACATACTCCTTTTTCTTTAAACAAACGAATTACAATTCACATTTTAATGAATGAACAATAAACGCTGATACCCTATGAATGGTGGATGTAAATCACATGATACACGACGAGTCTTAAATACACAAACCTTGTTAAGTTCCCTACATTGTAGGTAGAAGTGTTTTTTTCTAAGTCATCAATGACAACATGACTAATAAACAGACGAAGTCTGTATTTCAGGGAACATAAGTTAAAGGTCACTCATGAGCCACTGTTGTGAAACGGTATCCACGTACGCATAAACAACGAGGTTGTTTCACATGCAATGAAAACTACAATTGTATTGCTTAAGGCGATGGTCATGTCCATATCCTGAATAAATCCTCGAATCGTTTTGTACTATATCCATTGACTTACAAATAAATGGACGACGGGTCTAATACAAAAACCACGAAAAAAATGTCCCAAGTCAACCTATTCGAAATTTAAATTGTTATGTCATCGCAGTATCGCGCTGTCCGTAGAACAAATGAAGACTAAAGCGGAGTGTCGCGCTCTGTATACGATTTTAGCGCCTTACAAGTGCGGACACTTTTTAGCGCGGACCCGACGTCCATATAATTGTAAGTCAATGACTATATCGGCAGGATTTTTTTGAATACCTAGTGACAAAGACTTTTTCTCAAACGTGCTCGGAAATGCTTACATTACTTTTAAAAACCGAACACGGAAAGTTTGTTATTTATGGGCTATGCGACTTCTTCCCGGCGAAGGCCTGCAAAGTAAGTATGAATAGTATATTGCAGAGGTCGGAAAGTAAGGGATTGCTGGACGAGTAAGAGTTACAAGGACGAGCGCCAGCGAGTTTGAGTGTAATCTGTGCTTGTCTATGTGTGTGTCCATGGCACACGTGATACAGGGTTTCCGTAGTGCAAAAAGTATGCATAGGATTTCGGGATCTTCATATTTAGCATCCATACGAGCTAACCACTGGACCACAGGGATCAAATAATTCATAATAATTACAAAGTTAAAAGCAACGTCATCAATCGAAGCATCCTCAACTAAACTGAGTCATTATGACAGCCGGCTGGTCGCCACGCGGCGGCACTCGTGCGTGTTGTCACGCCATTTGCACTTATCTATTAGACACTCGTGCACCTTGCATGTGTTAACTGGCTAATTACACACGATATGAGGTACCACCTGTGAAAAATTTGATTTAGTTTTCGTCGTATTAAAACCTATGTCCATTGTTTATTCGATATATTTTTCAGCTCAACAAATTCAATGCGTTAAAACTTAAAACCTCACGTGTTTACTGTGATCACAGAGACATTTATTGATAACTTTAAAGCACTTGATATATAAAAAAGAATTATTTGGGAGGCTTTTCTTCTCCCATAAATTTTAAAAAAGTGGATATAGAAGTTTTGTTTTCAAGTGTTCCAATAACCGATAGCAAGAGCGAAGAGTTTTTTTTAATAATACCGAGTGACGAGATAAACAAGTCGCCTGTACATAACAGTTGCAGTGCCACTCAGAGCGTTAAATCGTAAAGATCTGCTACTGCGCCCGTCACCTTGAGACATAAGTTGAACAGTCCCATGTGCCTGTAATTTCACCAGCACGAACTCTTTCACAAGTTCAGCGTGTTATCACGGAAATAATAATTACAATAAAGTAGTGGAATAGTTTCAGACATTCAATAAAACACTTAATTACAGTGAATAGCGACATCTCTAGCCAGGTTTGGTAGCTGTAAAAGTGCCTAATTGGGTGACGAAATACTTTCATGGATTTCTCATAGATGATGCTACTGCTAAAAAGTCGTTATAATCCAGGTACGACCCGACAACGAGCACATAGAAAAATTTGTGAGGTCCGCTGGTTCGTTACGTGGCTTAGTTGGCACGGTTTGCTAGAAGGCGTCGTTTCGAATCCGGCCGGATTGAAGGAATTTTTTCTAAGTGGTCGAATCTTTGTATTATAATAATTATAACAAACTAGTGGAGTAATTTAACAAAAAAATATTGAATACCATGTTGATAAAACATCGTGACATTTAATAGAACACTTAATTTAACGCGGAGATTTTTCCCTAAAGCACGCGGCGTACATAGCGAAAGTGTCCACTGGTGTCCTGCTCCAAGGACAGTACCCACCTCGACCCCTTCATGCCCGTCGCTTAAATTATTATACAGTATATTAATGAGGCCAGCATTTTTGTAAAAAACAACTTACATTTGTTTACCAAAAATATAAACCCTCGAAATTACAGAAACCCTAAGGACTACTTTTTTTTAAGTACCTAAGATGGAGAAATATAACTGTTTATGCATGTGTAGTCAATTTACAATAGGTTACGTCTGGGGTAAGTCTTCACATGGTCTTTACC